CACCACCTAATGTACAGCAGAGTGACATCCACTTACCCGCTGTTTTTAATTGTTTTTAAAATTTGAACTCGATTTCATCAAATTGAACAAACCTTGAACCATATACCAATCGACAATTTTTAAGGGAATATATGTACACGAGGTCAGAAAATATCTACATTATATATTTGTTTGAACGTGTTCTGACTATAGCTAATCAACGCAGTSCCTAATCTATGTCAGCTTGGGACTTGACATTTTGAAGGTATTTTCGTACAGCCATGTAGTAGTGCACTAAGAAAACATTTTCCAATTTTCTTATTTTACAGTATTATTCACACTAATATTTTGAGATCACGATAGAAATTGAAACATTTCTGTTAATAAATGATTGCGATTATKTAGTTAAACATTACAATGATAAAAGTAGAAACTAGAAGAATAACAAATTACACAACAGATGRCGGTTAAATATTGAAAATATGGTTTTAARCAATAGGTAGTCAGATATTTGACGATTACGGGCTTTCAGAGCCAAGGATATACTATATAGGGATATTTTTATCCGTATGGCTGCAACTTGAAATTCAAAAAAAAATATTTATTTTTTATTTTGTTTTATTCAAATAAAAAATTACATCTATTATGTTTTCCTAAGATTTCAACCCCAATATGCCGACTATTTAATAACGAATTGAACAATGTTGAATCACATCATCATGTCAATGAAGTGTATATAATCTATAAATATGTATTATATAATATGTCCCTTTATTTTTTAATGCATGACAATTTATCAATTTCTTAAATCAAATCAGTTTAGAATTCCACTCTTATATACCTAGCTAGAAAGAATATGCCACATTTTTAACAGCTATTATTACTACCATACTCTATCCTGCGGCTTTCAACCTTTAATAAAAAAGCTAATTTGTATTTAATTATACGACAATTTTATCCTTTGGTTTGCACACTACTTTATTTAAAATTATAATATTATAATTCAATGTGATTAAAAAAATGTGCCAAGTAAATACAAGAATGATAAGAAATCCCGATCAACCTTAACAAAGGTTGGCACACGTCCAAATGTAAATCACCAAGATAATTCAATAGGTACTTAATTACCACTAAAAAATCTTTTTTTCATAAATTTATGTTCTTATAATATCTTTGTTTAAATTTTTAACTACAGGAGTTCAAACACACTAAAATAGTGATCTAAATTCTTAGTCAAATAAACAAAAAAAGAATTAAGATAAAAATTATATATTTAAAATACAAATTGTTTTAATTATTCCATAAAAAAATGAATCACATAGGTATTTGTCATCCAAAGTGATGTTGGAATACAATCGTATATTTCTACGAGGGTGTACTGTCAGGATGCACTGTCTGGCAACCGACTAGTTGATGTTTATGATATTTAATAAAATATTAATTCTTAATCTTTTATTAAATATATACATTACTATGTAATTACTTGGGAATTTATATTGTATTATAAAAATAATCAATATAAATTAAAATTGATAAGCATAAAAATTATTTCGATTAGTAAATTATAAATAAATAAAATTTAATTTAAAATAAATATTGCTCAATATTTTAAGAGATAAAACTTAAGCACACTTTTCTATTCGTAATTTTATATTTACTTGTAAGATTTATTTAGTCATCATTAGATTCATTATGTATGTACATTTATAAGTAAGCGTAGTAGACGCGTATTTAAATAACAACAAGCTCGGAACCTGTTTTCCATTTCAAACATTGCTATACTTTGAATTATTGATAATTCTAGATTCAAAATATACCTTTACCAATTACACAAACATCTTTGATTAAAACCGATAGTAACTCATTAAAGTCTTAAAAGTGCTCTTGTTATTATCATCATATCTAAGGAATTTAATTTTCCACATTGCATTAGAATGCCAATTGAGTATCTACAAAGAGAATACTTTACGAATAGAAGTACAAAAACGAAAATAAACATAGTATTCTCATTTAACGGATAAAGTGGGATTTCAGGAATATTACTTATACATTTATTAAATTATATTTTAATGAACTTTTTCAATAATAATACAAATTATTACAGTATTAATATGTAGGTACGTCATATTATTTTCTATATGGTTAATACTTTTGGTATATTTTAGTACATTCTATAGTTGGGAATAGTTT